CCGGCCCCCCCCCCTCGCTGCCTCCGGCCGCCGGTAGGTCGGCGGCGGGTAACGTGACACCCGCGGCTGGGGGCTTATAAGCCTTTAAGCTCGGCGGCGGCCAGGCGGTAGAGCGGCGGTCGGGTGCTTCGCCTCACGGTGCCGAGGCGGGAGCGATCCCCTGAGGTGAGAGGGCGGGGCGGTTCAACGCGGACCCTGAGGGAAGAAGGGGATGCGCGGGAGCGGCCCGGGAGGGGGGTGTCCTTGTCCTCCGCCGCCTCCTCCTCCTCTTTCACCCCCCCATCCCCGGGGCTGGGGATCCCGCCGCGGACAGGCCGAGGCAGCGCTGCCCGGGGCGGAGAGGGGAGGGAGGGGGGGAGGCCTCGCTGATCCGCTACTAACGGGGCTATCGCCCCCCCCCCCCCCCCCCCCCGAGGGCGGCGAAGCCGATGCCCAGGTTGGAGAGCTGCGCCTGGAGCTGCTCCTGCGCCGCCCGGGAAAGGCACAAACCCCCGCCGGGGGAGGAGGAGGAGGCGGCGGCCAAAGCGGGTGAGATGCTGAGCTCCCCCGGGCCGGCGGCGGCGGGTCCCGCAACGCGCAGCCCCACCGGCGGGGCCACCTTGAACTGGAGCCAGCACCTGGTGCGGCGCAGCCTGGTCCTCTTCGTGGTGGGCGCCTTCATGGCCCTGGTGCTGAACCTGCTGCAGATCCAGCGGAACGTCACCCTCTTCCCCGACGAGGTGATTTCCACCCTCTTCTCCTCCGCCTGGTGGGTGCCCCCGTGCTGCGGGACGGCAGCGGGTGAGTTACACGCACACACAGCGTGATTTATGTGTTCTTTTCCTCCCGTGGGCAGCCCAGGCCGTGGGGCCGAGTGTGACCCCTGCGGGTGGGGGCTCAGCGCATCCCCCCCCCGCAACGAGTGAGGCGAACCCTGGATTTTTGGAAGGATGCGTGGCTACTCCAGCTTTACCCACGGGTGGCAGGCACCCACGCGTGTCCGATTGCTTTTTTTGTTTGTTTGTTTTCACTTTGTGTGTAAATGTGTTTTGGACGCGGGCGCTCCCCCGCGCCCTGTTCCCTCGGTGACCCCAGCTCGGCGCGGGGTTTCCCCGCGCTCCGCCCCACGGCGGGGCACGAGTGGGGGCCGCGCCGCGGGGCCCCGCCCCCTCGCCGGCCATTGGCTGCCGGCGAACTGGTGAGTGGCGGGCGGCCCTCGCCATTGGCTGACGGCGCGAACTGGCCACGGGCGGGGCCGCAAAACAAGGAAGTCACGCGTGGCGGCGCGTTGTTTGGCCCGGCCCCTACTCGCCACTCGCCCCTGGCCACTCGCCACTCGCCCCTGGCCGCTCCCGCAAGAGCTGCCGCCCAAAAAGGCTCATGAAACCCTCTCGTGGGCCTCGGTGAACCCGGCATTTGCCCGGTGCGTTAGTGTGGGTGATTCCCTCTTCTCCTTGTCAAAATAAAGCCTTGATAACGGGCTTTAAATAAAAAGGAGGGCGGGGGGAGAAATAAGGACAATATTCCTTCTTCTCCTTGTCAAAATAACGCCTTGATAAAGGGTTTAAAGGGTTTAAAAAGGCGCTAAAGAAAAAAAAGGGGGGGGAGAAATAAGGAAAAAACAGGAAAACTTCAGGAAATATACCCATTGCGATATCTTTTAATTTGCGTTGAAAGTACTTTAAACACCCCTTCCATGTTTTGGGTATTTTTTTGTTTGTTTTTTTTTTTAATGTGATACTGTCATGTGCTACTTGTACCTCATAGTAAGGGAGTATGAATGATAAAATGTAAACTTTGGTTTCATTCATGAATGAATGATAAACTGCGTAGTAATAAGATTGCCACTGGGTATTGCTCCTGTGAGAGGTCTCATAGTCCTGTCACAGCTGGGTTAAACTTTGGCATGTAGCTGTTATCCTAAGGTAAAAGTCCTCGTACCTGCTGTTGGAATAATGTAGCTGTTTCAGCATAAGATCATGTTTTTCTTAGATTGGTATGTCTTGTAGCTTTCTTAACATAGAAGTTACTCCTCTGAGGGGTTTAAGGAGAGGAGGGGAGGAAAGGGGGAGGAAAGGAAACAAACAAACATAGATGTTACATACAGTTAAAGCAGCTTGTGTAAGCTGTTGTCACTTGGGAGTTGGTGACAACACATGGAGCTGCAAGGCTAAGAAGAATGAAACTTACCTAGTGTTTGTGCTAGCAACTGAGCTAACAGTAGCCTTTGCTTTTCTTCTGCAACCAATTTGCAGACTGATAAGGCTGAGAAAATGCTGTATGAGGATAAAAATTTTGTCTGGTTCATAGTATGAGTAGTTCTTTTTCCCTGACATAAATATGACTGATGGCAGGTGCTTCTTTAAGTTCAGCTCTGTTTCTGTTTGGTATCAAAATTAATCTGATTTGGATGGCAGCGTGGGCTGACTTACAGCCGAGCAGAAGGAGAGAAAGCAGTTCTGCCAAGAAACTTTTCAGTCCAGGGAAATATTTAATTCAGGGCCTGATTCCCAGCTATGGGTCAAGTTCATAAAACTACCTGCCCTGCACGTAAGCAGTAAATATGCATTCACATATTCCATTCTTTAATGTGATTACCCTTTTTGTTATGCTTTATTATTTATTGGTACAAGATAAGCATCTGCTCAGCATGTCAAATGATATATGCTCATGGGAGAAAAGGAGCTTGCAGTCAGATGCTTTAACATTGCAATATATATCTCTGCTTTAAAGGTTTAAATAGAATATTGCTTGTTAGAGTGCTTTGGTTTTTTTCTTCTCTAAAGGGGGGAAGGTAGTATTTGTCTTTTCATCAGGCTTACAGTAGTGTGATAAGCACTTCAATATTTGTCAGGCATTTATTTGCCAAACTAATATTTAGTTTTATTGAAGTAATCATTGTATGACAGTTAGTACAAATAGTCTTACTTCTCTTGCAGCTGTTGTTGGCCTCCTGTATCCCTGCATTGACAGCCACCTTGGGGAACCACACAAATTCAAGAGAGAATGGGCCAGCGTAATGCGATGTATAGCAGTCTTTGTTGGCATTAACCATGCAAGTGCTGTATCCTTGAACTAGTTTACGTTGTTGCTTGATGTGCTTAGTCTCTTGTCATGAAACAGCCTCCTCTATTCATGTCTGGGAGAAATACAAAGGTAAGGAGGGTGCTGCTGGCAGACACATAAACTTCTGTGAGACCTGCAGTATGCTGCAATAATTACTTTAAGATAATAATAGAGGTCACTCACAAATAATTGGGGGGAGGTCTGGGAGTGGAGAGGGATAGACATCATACTATGTCTGGTTTAACTGCAAGCATAACAGTGTAAGTTGTGTTATTTTAATCTGTATGTTGTCTACATCTAATAGTTAATGCAATTAACTAGTGAGGTACGCTGAACTGTTTTAGTAAGAGTGTTATTTGTGTTGAATAATGATGCAGAAAACCTAAATGGTTTCCTAAAGGGATAGGTTACTTGAGACAAAATCTGTAACAGTTAAATGTGTTACAATATAGTATATTCTTTAGGTGCTCAGTGTGACAAAACATAATGTTGTCTTTGCACTCACACTCCAGTCACAGTCAGCAGGAACTGTGATTGCTCAGCAGGTCTGAAAACCAGATCTTTAATGTCTTGTATTTAGAGATACAAAATCATGCTCACTTAGAGTCCTCCCTTGTTCAGTTTCAGCAGCAGGATGTCTGCAAACTTAAGAGGATTGTCCTTAACATCTTTTTCTAGAAACTAGATTTTGCAAACAACATCCAGCTGTCCCTGACTCTAGCAGCCTTATCACTGGGTCTTTGGTGGACATTTGATCGTTCAAGAAGTGGTCTTGGACTTGGAATTACAATAGCCTTTGTAGCAACTCTGATAACCCAGTTTCTTGTATATAATGGTGTTTATCAGTAAGTTACACTTTTAAAATACTATTTCAACTGTCTTGTCTTGATAAAAATGGGGTCACGTGCACTGGAAGTTAATAATTAACATATTTGTCATGTTCTTAAAATAAGACATTTTGTTCGTCTAAGTCAGCTAATTGTCCAGTTGTTCAAATGATCAGATTGAGAACTGGGGGTGGAGGGTGGGGAGCAGACAAATTGGATGGTAGAAGCTCAGCAAACTGAACTTCTGCTGGCTTGGTATATTACTAACTGGCTTTCAGGAGAGAGTATTTCTAAGCCTTGCTACCTGAGACCTAATGCTACCAAAGCATTTTGGAAGCTTGTTAAGTTAACAGATGTCATTTGGTCTCCCTATTTTTCTTCCTGTGCTACTGGTTTGGCTTTGTCTCTCTCTCTGGGCCCAGGGAGAGAATTCTGTAGCCTCTCGTTAACAGTATGTAAGGTGATGAAAATAACTTGTCTCTAACTTATTTCCTTTTGTTTACTAGGTATACATCTCCAGATTTTCTTTACATCCGTTCTTGGCTTCCATGTATATTTTTCTCAGGAGGTGTGACTGTAGGAAACATAGGACGCCAACTGGCTATGGTAATTACTGTATAATTAGCATTTCCTTTAACTATTGAAATATGTTCCACTGTTTTTAGTCCAAGAGCAAACTATGCCTTTAAGGGTATGACTCACATATTGACAGAGATAAATAAGATATCTTCCCAAGAGCTGAAATGTAAGTGCACAACTTGTGTTGCCAGTAGAGTAGGAATTGTCTTAGTAATTGTTTGATCTTCTGTACCTAACTTTTTCCAGCAACAGCTGAAATAAGACTGGAATCAGTGTGCTGCTTCTGGTGAGAATCATAGTCACTCCTGCTTCATCAGTACTTTGAGTTAACACCTAAGTTAGCTTAAAAAGTGAGACACTGGTAGGCTTTTGCTAATTATTTATGCAGTAAAGCTTTTTTGTTACTTAGATTAATGCTATATAGGGACTTTTCCTTTCAAGTCTACCACTTTAGAATCAAATATACTCTTTTTAGTCACTTAAGATGTAGTTCAAGTATCACCCCATAAATGGGATAATATAGTATAGATGACTGCCTTATATACTAGGTTCTTAAGTGCTTCCTTATAGTGTACTTAAGAGTAAACCTGGCTTTGTGCTTGCTGGTCAGCCCAAGGTTTGGTTGTGGAAAATGTTCTGACACTGATGGATAGGAATAATTAATACTCTATTGATTTAACTTCTATCTTCCTTGCTACATAAGCCCTTTATCCTGGAAAACATCCTTCAAGTACTTCACTTCTCTAAGGCTGCTGTGCTTTAGGTGCCTTGAATTTTTACTGAAGGAAGGGTATTTGTAGACTTGAAGCTCCTGAAATACTAGTCTCTGAACTGTTTAGTAAGGGGGAAAGCTGCTTTTTGGGACTGAATCACAAGCGAATAAAAGGACTAGTCTAAAGCTAGCTGTCTTGCCTGCAACAGGCTTTCTGTCTCTGCTGCCTGGCCTTGCTAACCAGTTGATTGCTGCTAGTGTATTTCTGATGTGGATAGTCAGAATTTGATGCTGCAGATGGATAAGCTTGCAGACAAGCTGGGCAAGAGAGCCATGTTGCTTGATCACCACTGGCTAACGTTAAAGATCAATTTCTTTAATATTGATTCTCAGATACAATAAATTAACAGTAACCTCTGATAGAAATGGCTGTTAAAAAAAAAAAAACTGGGGTAAATTTACTCCTACTCCTGTTCTTGAGGATTTTTTTTTCATGCTGACCTGATACCAAGTTACAGATTTCCTGGGACTGTGGTCACACTTCACACTCAATTTAGGTTTCTCTGAGTTTCTTCAAAATACAAGCTCATTTCTCTCCCATCAGATCCCAGTGGTGCATGCTATCTGCATGTGTTCTTTCTTAGGACTACATGTATGAGGGAAAGAGAGGGTATAATTTCTCTTTTCAAACTTGCCACTTGCATCAGGTGAAAAAGATATATTGCTGTGGTTTTATTTAAGCTTTGCTATTGCAAGCAGAGTCTCAGAGTAAAATTATAGTCAGTTATGTGCTACGGTTCTGTATTTCACACTGGGCATATGTAGCACTTCCAGTTGCCATGCTTCTGATGTCACAAATCAAAGGAAGGGAGTCTTAAAGAAGAAAGAACTAAAAGAAATTTAGGCATGTAGGACTATTTTTTTTTTTCTTTTCCTTCTTTTCACCTGGCATCTCACCTGAATATAGTTAACTTCAGACTGGCTCCTGCCTGCAGCTTTCCTGTCAATCTTGTTATCTTTCTTCCAAAGAAAGAGAGAAGTTGGCAAGGCAAAGCATTCTATTCTGGTTATCTAGAAGTATCTTCTCATGTGTTTTAGATTACCATTACTTACTTGGGAAAAACTTGGAGAAGCCAAACCTAGTCACAGGAACACTTCTGCAAGTCACTGTGAAGCATTCAGTGCTGGGAATTCAAAGTATTCCACTTCTAAAACAGAATGGTAGCATTCAGTCTACTAGTTTTTTCTTTTGCAAAGATGACCCAAAAGCATCAGTCTGTTTTGTCAGCCATTGTGACTGTGGAAAGAAGGAATATTGCATTTTTTTTAAAACTAAACCTGAATAAAACATTTTTGTAGCTATACTCTCCTCTAGTCCCTGTGCTGTGTGGCTGCATGTGACAGCTGCAGATCAAACATTTTCTGGGCACATCTGGAGTAGGAGGGAGCACCTGTGGAGTAAAGTTGCCTCACTTCTTCCTCAGCCCCTGCCTGGATTTTGCAGTTAGAAAAGAAATTAGAACAAGTAGAATGAGAAGTGTCCTCAAGACATCCCCTCCCATCCTGAGAAATGTTAGCTGGGAGATGATTCCTGCTTTTCAGTCACTGGATTTCAAGTGAGCTTACATGCAGTAACCAAGTGCAGTGTTACCTTTAAGCAACCCTGCTGGCAGCAGAGGGTTTTGGGTTTTGTTTGGTTGTTGTGGGTTTTTTTTTTTTTGCTATCAGCTTGAGGGTGAAATCCAATATTTTCTTTAATAGCTTAATTTCAAAGCTGAAGGTGTTACTGCTGCCATCAGCTCTTGCTGCTGATTATGACACCTAAAGTGGCTCAGTCAGTTTTCATCCGCTGGGTTAAAGGGATGGCAACACTTCATTTTGAGTTCTTCTCAACATCTGGTGAACTTCGGTGATATTCAGAACTTGGCCCTCACAAATATCTATTGTTTGCTACTGCTTGAGGCTGCAGAACTGTGAATGCATTCAGCACTTGCAAATACATTGGCATTTTGGCTGTAGAATGAGAAGAATGTAGTAAAAGCTTTGCTTTGAAGAAAAGTTGGTTAAATTTCTTACACTGACTATAGGGTTTTGTACTAGAAAAGGAGTTTAGGAGGAAATGAGTAAGGCTGTCTGACACCAGGCTTTGATTGGAAAGTAAAGTAACTTCTGCTTGAAGACAGTTTGAAAGAGGGCTGTTAAAAAAACCTGAATTAATGCCCAATAAGTGAAGCACTGTGTACCTCTTGCTAAGTAATAAAGCAGCATAGGGAGGAAAGCGAACAAAGTCTTATGAAAAGCCATGTGATTGGTAGATGGATTTATCAGGTGCACTAATTGAGGCAGCACAGACCCATAGTGACTTTTTTTGTCCCCAGGTAAGGAGCACGTCCTTGTTGAGCTTTTTAAGAAGCCATGTCTGCGAGGTCATTGTCAGCCTACCTGAAGTTAGTTGAAAATATTGCATAATGTAGTCTCTTATCAAATGGCATTAAAATATAACCCGTGTTTGTTGTTGTTTTATCCATAGGGTATTCCAGAGAAACCACACAATGACTAAATCTTTGAAGAAGAGAGCACGGTGCCAGTGTGAAAGCAACGTTACGAAGACGTGTTCCTGTTTCAAATTGAAGATTATTTAGAAAAAAAATAATCTCTTTATGGGCTCACTGCACAAATGACTTGTGGAAAAAATATTAATCCACTCTTAGAATAGCCAAGTGAAATTAACTGCTTATCTCGAAATCTTACCCTGATTTACTGCATAAGCATTTGCGTATGGCTGTTCTCTGGAAGAGTTTAACACCAAGTTGCATACAACTATTCAGGCAAAGTGGCAGTTTTCCAAGTATTAGATTCCAGTGTAAGTTATTGAAGCAGCTGCCGTATTTTAAAGCCTGGAAATCGAAATTTAATTACAAGCTCTTGTATCAGTGCCCAAAGGAAGTAGATCGATGGTGCTTAACAATGATGAAGTATGGTTTAATAGGAATAGTATTTATCCAAATCTTTTAAAAATAGGGTTGTTTAAAAATAAGAGTGATTGAAACAGATTAAAGGCATTGCACTAATGCTTTTAGGAGCCTTATGAAGGAATCATGCCCTTACTTGTAATGCTGCATTAAGTTTCTGTCTTTGGTGGAGAGGGTTGGAGGGACAAAAGGTTGGAAGTCACTCAGTCTTGAATTCCTAAATTACTTCAGTAGTATAGGTGAACCCTGGAGACAATCTTGTTCTAACGCGAACTTCATCAAGAAATTCTGACTGGAAATTTCATCACTTCTGAAGCTTTCAGCCAGATTTGCAAAACTCAATACTAAAGCAAAATGCTTCAGTATCTCACTGAAGGAGGTCTTGGGTATCTTAAACATCTGGTGTCACTGAAAAACCATGCATTGCAGGCCAGTGCTTGGCCATTGAGTATGTGCCCCCAGCTCCTGAGATCTGCAGTTTCTTCCCGGAGGTGTCCTTGATCTTGCTTCTGTTTGCGTCAGGGTTTTAGCTTGAAATGGTTGGAAACAGAAGCGGGCCTAAAATGTGACTTTAAACTGTATGTGAAGAATAGCAAACAGCTTGTTTTCTCAGTTCAGTTTCTGAAAGATCACTACTTGTTTTTTCACAACCCTATAGAACTTGCAATCTGTGATTGCCTTCTTAAAAAGAAAAAAAAAAAGTGCTTATGTCACTACATTAAACATTTGGTGTTTCTTAATACTTAGTTCTGGTGAGCACAACATACTCATTTGATAGCTTAGACCACAGAAGACCTAAATAGCAAGTATTAGGTCTTAAAGTTGAAGTGCAATGTACAGTAAATCTGAGCCTTGTGTTCTCTTCAATATCGATCATTTCTTATGAGAGATTAAAGAGAAAAGGGTTCTGAGTTCATTTCAATGCTGCATGGAGTCAAATGGAGCAATAATTTATTTAACTAGTAAAGCTAGTTTTGTTGTATCTTTCATTGAACCCAAATTTTTAGAAATACTCCAATTTTGTGGTTATGGTGTACTTGTAAAGTTTTATGGATTTGCCTTTTTGTATTATGCAATTATTATTTTTTTTGTTCAGTTCCAATCTTACATGGCTTCAGATATAGTTAGAGGCATCAGTTAAAGTCTGACCCATCAAAAAAGACGTTGAGGCAAGGTAGCAGTGTTCTGGCTGTTTTCACTCTTCTATGGGAATGCTATAACTGCTGCTTGTGCTTTTTTGTAGCAGGAAAAATTTAGCACAAAGTCTGTATTACAGAGCAGACCCCAATTCTAATCTTGCTTTGGTGTAAATCGAGTAATTTCATTGGTATAAGATCCTTCCTCAAACGTTTAAAACTTAAATAATCACATTTTATAGGACTACTTGAAGAAATTAGGTCCTCAGCTCAGCTGCTTTAAGAAGCGTGCTACCTGCTGGGGAGACAATTTTGTAATCATCTTGACAACAGTTTCAAAACATTATAAAATCAGATGTAAGTAAAGGTGACAGTGATGTCTACAGCTGTTTGACAGAGAAGTATTTAAAATTTATTTGTAAAGACTGAAACTAAATCTGTATGCGTTAGAAATAATGCAGCCAAAAATGTAAGTCAAAAGTTCATTTTTTGCCAATACTTCTGAGTATCTTAACCAAAGTGATTTCAGTTTGGAAGAGGCAGGAGGGGAGTGAAGAAAATTTGCACTATTCTGAATTTGAACACTTAAATTCTCATTCTTACTGATAAGTTTTCAGCGGTGTGTTTGGTTTTACACTTTTTTTACTATTAAAGTTTTAAGATCAAGTCGTGTTTGCCTTGGATTCTCTGGATTCACATTATGCAGGAATCTTTCTTGAAAGGGACAGTTGTTATGGTTGCATAACAAATATTCAGTCATGCATACTCAGTGGTTTAAAAAAAAAAAAAAATCCTAAACTGAATTTAGAGATTAGGTTTTAAAGGAGTTTCCAGCTTGGGTTATATAGTCGAAGAAAAAGGATCTTTCTACTGTGCCAAGAAAGCGGTGTAAGTGTGTTATGGTTATGTGACCATGGTTATGGTTATGAATCTTATCATTATTGTCTTCCAAGATGCTGAAATTCATAATTTGAAACAAAATATGGAGGGGGCAGGGTAAGCATGCAAATTCCTGTTGGGGCTTGGTTAACTGCAGTAATGATTACTAAACTCAGAAGCATCTTAAAGAGTGTGGACAGTAAGAATGAGTAATCACAGCTGATAAGGCTGAGCAATTCTGAAACTGTTGCATCATCTGATTTAGGGAATTGTGAATTTAGACAAAAAGTCTTCAATTTTACTGCACTTAAATATTTATTTCAGACTTCTAGAAGCTGCTATGTTTGTGGTGGAAAGGGTAGAATGGCTTTTGATCAATCTTCATCTATATCAGTGCAGAGTCTCAGCTTAGGTGAAGAGGGCTTAATTAGGAACTTCATTAATATTTTAGCTTAAATAGCCTGTGCTTGCTTAACTTCAGCACATGCTCCATGAGAGCTGAGGAGGTAGCTGTTAACAGCTCTAATCTGAGGATGGCCCAGATCTTCCAGGTACATTGTTTTCTCTCAAACTCTGCTCAGATTTTGCCAAAAGGAATTAAAAATATATATTATTAAAAAAAAAGTGGGATACTGTCTGGTCTTGGAGAACTAGGATGTGATGGTCCCCTTTTGAGACAGGAAAGTGTGTACAAAGTTTCTAAAGAAAAAATTGCCAGCAAGGATGCTGATTTGAGCTGTGCATAGTTCCTGCAGATCCATTCAGCAGGTTGTTCAGCCTTTGCCTTTAAGCAGGGGGATTTGCAGGTGCTAAATTAGCCACAGGAGGGCCCATAGTCTGTTCTCTGAATGCAACAGGAACATATTGAGATGAATAATGAAATTAAGTCTCAATTGCCTTATCGCACATCAGAGTAGCTCCAAAATTCATGAGAACAAAGCATTACATGCTGAATTAATTGAACAAAGCATACTTTATAAAACAGATGATTGAGGGTCTTGGAAGCCTGGGAGAGTTGTGGGTGATCACAGCTTCTTCCAGCTAAAAGGTGGAGAAAAGGTACCTACGGGTGATGGTTGTTTCTCTGGGCAATGAAATACCATTTGCATTGACCCATCCCGAGTTTGGAGTTCTCCCCCCTCATTTAAATTGTATTGTTTAGTGATGATGTTCCATCTTCATGGGCTACAGCTGGAGACAAGTGAATTGTACATGCAATAAAACCACAGTCCTCATGCCCATCTGTGTGATAAGAAAGTTTGTAGGTTGTGATGGTGCTACTGGCCTGATGTGGTTAACTTTCAAAGACAGAATTCAAAGTACATATGATAATTTCTACAAAGAATGCATTACTGCCCCCAAAATCTTAAAGGATCAGAGCTCACGTGAGTCTTACTCTACAATAAAGTTGGGGTTTTTTTGCAGCTGCCAGTCATGTTTTCTCTATTACAGTGACTCATGGCTGTGTATTAAGTTGTTTAAGTGCTGTAATATTGTTATATTAAATATTAGGCAAGGGCTATAGAGATTACGCCAACTTGCTGTTTCCTAGGAATTAAAACCCCAGTTATAAATCAGCATTTTTGCCCAGAAATCCAACCCAGCTACATCATTTTCTCCCAGCCCCCTGGCTCCAGCAGCGCCCCGTGGCAGCCGGGCGAGGGGAGGCCAACTCCTGTAGCTGCTCCAGGGATGCTCCAAGCTCTCCCTCTTCCCAAAAGCAGTAGATGTTGAGTATTGTTTGTGCTGCTGTTGATTATTTGCTTTCTAACTAGTCAAAAGCAGCTGAGTAGGTCAAGCAGCAAGAGCTGTAATAATCGCAGCATGAATTACAGCTGGCCCATGTTTTTCTGGGGAGGATGGAGGAGAGGAAAGGGGTTTTTTTTCCCCACCCTTTCTCTCCAGATTCCCACTAGATAGAAAATGACACATTCCTGCATTGCAGAAGCTGGCCTGAAGTCTGGGTTGAATCTGGGTTGGTGCCATCACAGCAGCTGATGTTACAGTATAAGCAAAAGCTAAGTGACTTCACGGAGGTCACGTTTATTCACCCTGAACATTCTTAGCCCCATTCAGAGAGCCTTGAGGGCTATATTCTACCAGTATCAAGCTGAACTAGCTTCAACTGAAAAAAACCCAAAATATATATAAAAGTCCCGTTGAAGGCTGTGTATGTCTCTTACCTGCAAATGCATGCACAGGAAGTTCATCCTTTCCAAGGTATCTTAGAGTAGGTGCCCAAAAATTACAGCAAGGTAACCTGGATTCACAAGAGAGCCGAGGTCCCATCCGATGAGGGAGACGTTCCTGCAGAAATGTAAGTTCTTCACATGTGACTGGAGTTCAAGACAGAAGGTCTGGTGGTTTTCTGGCTCTGTTTGGAATTGCAGTGTACCAGAGAGACACCAGACAGCTTCAGATCAGGTGGCTTGGGACAACCACAGCTTGGAGAGGACTTTATCCTGCAATGCAGAAAGGCCCACAGCCAACTGGGAACATGCCCAGCAGTACCTACAGCCTTTCCTACCCATCACCAACAAACTCCTGGGACATGCAGGGTTGAACAAGGGGGTTGTGATCTCTCTTACGGGGTGGGAGACTTCTAAACCTTGGACTTGGACACAAAGGAGATGTTACGTTATAAACAGAGGTCATTTAGGAGCAGGAGATGGTGAGATCACTGAGAGGTGTCACTGAGGTTTGGGTTTTCCTGGACACATTAGGGTGCTCCTCAGCTCATCACTTGAAACCTGTCACCGCAGGCTGGAGGTACGTGAGGGCAACTGCCCAAACACAGCGCAATCTGTTCATGTCTTCCAGCGATGGCAAAAGTCCTCCATCCGAGGTGGCTGTGGGAGATCTGCCTCTGACCACAGTAAAAACAAGACCAGACCCCCTTTTTTTTTTTTTTGAATGAATACAAGAACTCTGAGCCCAAAGTTTGGGTCAACTGAAACACTTGTTACCATCTTGAAATGTGGTGTTTTCATTCTGACCTTTGAAAAGTGGTCCAAGTTGTTTAACAGAGCAATATTTCAGCAATTCCAAAATCTAAGCCATGCTTTTTTTTTATAAAAATGCGATGAGCAATTTCAATTTCCAGACTTTTTTCCTGGATATTTTTCAGGTTACAGAAATTCACAAGAATATGTTGGTGTAGGAATTACCTCTTGATTTGATACATCAGCACTTCAGGGGGGGGAAAAAAAAAGTTTTTTCCAAAAATTCCTGATCACTTTTACTATGTTTCTCTTTACTTACTCGTCACCCTCTTTTTTTTTCCTGGCCCTGGCTTCATCACCCTTCAGGACTTCGTCCTTCTCCATGCCACCCCAACAGTGGCTTGAAAGGCAGCAGAGACCTGTGCTGGGTCTGTAGTCTGCACACCGAGCTGGCTGCACATTTCCATTCTCAGACTTTACTCTCAGCTTCTTTTTCCCCTTCCTTCTTTTCCTGGCTGTCTCTGAACTTCTTTCCACAATAAAAAAAGTCAGCTCGCTGGAAGGTCTCGCATCCCCCACCTCGGTGTCTGGGGGAGCTGGGTTGTTCTGCAGAATCTCTGCCTTGTTCTGACAATTGCATTTCAGAAGATGAACTGAAGGATTAAAAAAAAGAATAAACGCCAAAAAAAAACCCAAACCCAACCAATTTTTTCTCACCAGTTCTGCCCTGGCTCAGAAGAGCATCTTTGCAGTGCCAGCTGTGTAGCTGTCATGTGGTACTGGAAACCACCACGACTCCAAATAGCAGCTCTTGGAGATGGGACACCTTGGGCTGTGTGTTAACTCTGAAACCTACAAACATCGTTCACTTTCTAACACCGGTACCTATTGCGCTGTTGCTGCTTCATGAAAAACAAGCTACTGTTGAATTTAATGCTAGGTATAATTTGAACCTGATGTCTCCCAAAAGCAAGAAATCTTGTCTGTGATCCCTGATCACTGCTGGTGTGCAGCTGGGAGACCAGGGGTGGAAGGATCTGGTGGAGTCACCATCCATGGAGGTCTTTAAAAGACGAGTAGATGTGGTGGTGAGGGACACGGTTTAGTGATGGTTTTTGTCGGCGTTGGGTTGATGGTTGGACTCAATGATCTGAAAGGCTCCTTCCAACCTAAATGATTCTATGATTCTATGCTCCTATGATTCTGTCCTTCTGGTGGAGGTCTGTGTTGCTGAGCTCTTGCACCAGGACCCCATGGCATAGGAGCCTGGGCACTGTGTGGAGCTGTGCTTGGTGGGCTGAGCAAGAGGCTCTGACTTCTTCAGGAAATTTGCTGGTGCTGGGCCGGTGGAAGAAGTGAAGCTGGTGTAGGAAAGAGGTTCAACACATCCCACTCCATATTTTGCCCTACAAGGGTCAGACAGCATAGTCTAGAAATCTCTGCGAAGCTAACAGAGATGCAGAGCTTGAGCTAAGGAAGACTCACCAGCTGACTTACTCAGCATTAGCAAAGTAAACAGGGAAACAATCAAAACATCGAGGGCTCTCTTGTGCAACAGAGACCTTGTCCAGACAAGCAGAGCTCATTTGTTTCCACGCAGAGCTCTGCAGCAATGAACGTCTTTGCAAGCTCTGGTTTTAGACATTTTCCCTTGTTTCACTGAAGCACCGAGACAGTGCAGGCAGTAAGGTCCTGATCTCAGGAAGGATTCAAACCCAAGGACATGAGGTGCATCGTAGGTGAAGTCAGTGGGACTGGAGATGTGCTGAGCATCACAAGCAGCTCCAGGTCTGGAGTTCTGCTCGCAGCAGGGAGCAGTAGCCACAGCTGAGCAGCAGTGACCGTCATGGCTCAGGGCTGGA